AGGTCCTATTCATCTTCCAGGTGCTTTGCAAAGAGAGTCCAGAGCAACAAATTGTTTGATAGGAGTCTGTATGAGAGACACAGAGCGTGAAGAACAAAAATATGTTGCTTTCTTTCTAAGGGCAAGTTTTTGAGCAACTTTGCTTGTGATTCAGCTCATCAGCGTGATATAGTGCTGGCTTGATGCACCATGAGTTATTCTACCTGAAGTAGGGGACCCTCCAGATGTATGAGCAGGATGTTGATGAAACCTCACACTGCAAGGTGCATACATCCAATCAAATTCAGCCAAAAACAAGAAAGAGAGAGAGAGAGAGAATATATGATTCACGAGAATAGATTCTTCAATGCTAGCATTTAATTTACAGGGATTTACAGGGAGTGCAACGTGGATCACAGCTCTTTTCCGGAGGAATCAACTTACAGATTGTTACCATTAGTCACACATTTGCCCTGAAATCACCTCGGGAGTGATCGAATCCTTTTGCCACAGCCATCGAGCAGTGCTTGGCAGCCCCCGGACTTTGCATGCGTTTGCATGCAGGGATGTCGAAGATGAAGAAGATGCTGGTATTCCTCGAAAGCACAGTGAAGCCACCGCATCTGGGCGAGGGAAGGTCTCTGTCCGAAGTTCAACCGAGTCGGCGCCCAGCGAGTCGAGGAAGAAGGTCTCCCGATTGGTCTCAACACACCTCTGGATGGGTCAGAACCGGATCCGAGTCCAACGGCCATCTATCCCACCACCTAGGCAAGGATCCGAGTCCGGAGCCTCCTACTATACATTCGGGGTCGAAGCCTGCTGTTCACAAGGGTTTAGGGAAACCCCTTATAGTTTGGTTTCGGGTGTGGATCCTTAGGGCAGGAAGCGATCTATCCTCATGGATCCTCATGGTAGTTCCGGAGGTCCGACTCCTTAAGGTCCTCCACCATGGACTCTTCTCTTGGCACGAAACCGGTCCGATGACCCCTCCAGACACATCGAGGAAGGCGATGTGAGACCTTCGAGGTCATCTTCGAGGTCCGGCGCGGGGCATGTGAGACCACCGTGGTCGTGGGTCCCAAACGGGCTCCAGTCGTAGCTCCTAACCGGTTCGGTATGACTGGACCCGACGGGCTGGCACCCGGGCCCCGGTCGTCCCACCGAACCGAAACGAAGGTATTTTGGAGCCCTAGGGTTTGTCATGCAAATATAGACCACCCCCCCAAAAAAAGGAAACGGAAGACATGAGTCACATCAACTTGTTCGTGCTTACTGTACACACATCCTGGGTCTTGCTGAGCAGGTGATGTTTTTTCCCGGTTCCTGCGTAAGATGACCCTGGCATGGGGAAGAGATTTCTGGCATCTTCTCTCGGCGCCGCCACGACTCTTCGCCTTCGACTCCAAGACATCCAGGACGACATGTGCGAGCAAGCGCACGATGTTCACCCGCCGGACACGTTCGTTCACTGAAGTTGGTTTATTCGGAGCCCAGCTTGGCACTTTTCTGTGTAATCTGTGTAATCTGAAATCTGTATACTTGAACATATATGTGATAAAGAGAAGAACATCAAGCACAGTGACCTCCAAATGGAGTCATTGTGACCGTCTCCTCCCCATTTCCTCGTGGTCTCCTCACTTCATCTGGACAGGGATGGGCGCCACTTCGACGGGAGTTCTCGGCACAGTGAAGCGCGTGCATCTTGACCACACCTTAGAAGTCAAGTCGACCATGTTTAAAATTGGGGACGATGTGGTTTTGTCGTGTAAACCCCTTAGTGAAACCATGCTTGTTGGGGATTCAGGCTATTAAAACCATGGTGGGCCATGACGGCACAGTGAGGCGCCGGTTCTCAGTTCGACTCGAAGGACGTCCGGGACGAATAGGGGCGAAGCGTCGGTCGCTCCGAACGCGCACTACTGGGTGGTTGGCGTTGGTTGGACTCGAAGGTGGTCGATTGGGGGGTCCGGCTTTCACCCATGACAAAGGAAGGGGGACGCCGGAAGCAAGCAATTTGAAGGAGATTTATATCAGGAATTGATGAATCGCAGTCTTCAAGATATATCATTGCTACTCAGGGGTCACATATGACAACCTGGCTGGATGTTTGGGGAACCAACCTCTGCAAGGCCAAGCGGTTGGACTCGCAGGGCGTGAGCTTTGACTCCGTGCGTTGGCGTTGGCGCTGCTTCAGCGTTTGACTCCGAGGCTTCACAGTCAGAAGATGGCGAGCGAGTTCGGTCTTATTCTTCCTCCAGGTGCCTCCACCCATACACGACCTGTCGACGGGACTGGTATATAATATATATATATATATATACATGCTGAGACCATGAACCTGAAGACGGCTGCCCACCCCTGCGCAATCGGCCCTGGCATCGGTAAACCAGTAGCCCAGAGCGGGCGTGTTCTGAGGTGAAACCGAAGCCCATGAGCCGTTTGGGACGCGTTTTTGCAACGAAAAAACATCAGGATTGGTCCATTTGATCAGTTGCCCAGAACACAGCTGTTTTTTTTGGTTTAACGCAGTTGGTGTCAGACTTTAATCGCCCTTCCAGTGGGATAGAACACGGAGTTTGGCCTGAGACAACCCTCGAGCAGTGTTCGTCGGAATTTGCAGGGAGGCCAGAGAAGATGACCAGGATGCTGAGAACTCTCGAAAGTACAGTGGAGCCACTGCATCTTGCCAGCAACACCACCATGTGATGTTGGAAGAAATCGAGCATCGGCTTGGATAGAGGACCTAGTGCGGTCTCAGGCTTACCAGGCTTATCGCACAGCTGGATATCTTCTACCAGCAAGTCTCTCTCTGTCTCTCTTTCTGCGGCAAGAAGAACGTTATACAGTTATACAATAGTATGATGATGAATTATTGAGTGCATGTTCTACGTGTTTTCTATATCATTGGGTTGGCTTGTTCTTGCTTTGTCGATCGCTGGTTGTCTTGAGGATTCGTATGAAGACGTGAGACCATCGTGGAGTCATGGCTCCTCTAGGTGCGAAAAACACGCCACGACCGGGTCCCAGGACTCCTGGAGGTGATCCCCCAGCTCCTTTGGTTCACGATTTCCATCTAGAGTCCTGACTGTTTGCACTGTTTACGATCAAAATGAGGATTGAAATGTGTTTTGCCCCACTATTGATTCCTGAATGATAGCACGCTGAATGATTCCACTCTGGATCGCTCTCGGTCTGCGCTGCACCGCTTTATGTCGTGTGTTTGGGCACGGTGAAGCACCGTTGCCAACCATTCCCCAGAAAAAGCGCCGGTGGGAGAAGGGTGCGCCCTAAGCACAGGTTTGGTCCTACGTTTGATTGAGAGAGAGTTTTTTAGAGACCCCCAAAGAGATAGACAGGTAAAATGCCTTTCAACTTTCAACATGTATTGGTGCCACTATCTATTTGGGGACCACTACAATGCCTAGAACCTTAATAGGCAATCATTTCCGCCCAACGAGGTGCAGAACATTCCACCCGTTCTCCACCGAACGGGTGCCGCCTCAGCAGCCTCGAGGGTCAATAAAGATCCATTCTGAGGATCCGCACCCTCAAAAACCAAGGGTTTGGTTCGGGGCCCCAAACCCTTAGAGGGTTCGACCCCTTCAGATAGGAGGGTCCGGAGTTGGATCCTTAGGGCAGGATGAAAATACTTAGATCTGAAGTGTGATGACTTTCAAGATCCAGCATTCACAGCGTTTGGACACATCCGTTGCCCCGGTCGACCTATGTACTGTACCTCAAAGAGAACCTCAAGCAGAACCTGTCAGCTGTTGAGGAATTCTGCAAATCCCAACAATCGTTTTTCTTATGGGTCTATCATAGGTCTATCATTTGGTACCCAGCGTGTGGATGGGTGTGGGTAGTGATTTTCGCATGTCCCCTTGTTTTCATGATTTCACTCTAGGAATGCATCGATTGGGCCGCATGGCCATGGCCAGTTCGGTTCCGAACACTTCCCGGTCGAGGGTTCGTCCCAGAAAGTCGACGCTTCGAGCATGTTCGACCCACCCGAGCTCCAGCTTCGACCCGTGCGTGACCTTTTGAAGGTTCTAAGGCTAAGTGACCCGTATAGGAGGCTTGTTTGTGACCGAACCAACTAGGTGATCAAGTTTGGTCACGCACTGAAGAACCAGGTATATGACTTATACATTCACCACCCAATGTAGGCCATAGATATTTTCTTACTACATGGATCGGATCTGGGCTTCTTCAACCTACCCTATGGATCGTTTGTTTCTTTCTTTTTGTTCTGGTCCGCTGATCCGCCGCTTCAGAGCCCAACCCAACGTCGATCCTGGGATTTTGACGACTAACCCGTTCTCCAGCCTCTAGAGCTTAGGATCACTGACGTTCCCCAACGCACATGGAACGGCCGCGAAAGTATGACAATTGTCCGAAGACCAAACAGGTTGTTTTCACTCCACGATGATTTCATGATGATTTCAGGGAGTGTAGCATGAAAATCCGAGGGTGCCCCCTTGCAGATGTGTTTTCGTGACGGTATCGAAGATCCGTTCCACCATCCACAGCTTTCAGGTTTCCAAGGGTGGTTCCCAATGACTTCAATGTGTTTCAATCCAAACAATGACTTGCAGTGGCCAAACACTAAATGAAATAATAGATTAAAGCAACTCTCCTGCCTATGCCACTCACAAGGCAATGTTTATATATAGGGAACATATCAAATTCTGACGTGTCTGTAGAACTGGAGACAGCCACGGTTACTGCCACTGCAG